ATATTCTACAGCTTGCTTAGCAGTCATATTGCTCTGGCCGATACGGAGGACCGTTCTCGCTGGAGTAACCTCCGTCTAAGAGGTTATCCCTGAGACGGTAACCACATCTGACCTCCAGGCCTATACCACTGAGCTATTCCGTGTGTTGGCCCCAGTCTTACCTGTGGAAATGCTTCTTATGGATTGCATACAAAGTCGCAAAACCGCAGTTTCTACCACAAGATACCCGACGGCATGTTCTACTAAAGATGCACTATTATCATGCCCAGGACCTAGTGCTGAAGGTGAGCAGAGCAAAAAAAAAAAAAAAGGACTTTCCACTGAACTACCACACAGTGAAGATCTTTGCTCACCTCTCGGTGGCCACCCTATGACACAGGAAGACTTTTGCAACCATCACTGGAGTCCTGCGAGAACTACCGCCTCCAGTACCGATTAGGATTCCCCACAAAGCTACTGGTGCAGCATAATGGGAAAATGACAGTGATCACCTCTGAATTTGAAGGGCTGCGCACCTTCAGAGGTTGGGGCACACCGCCCTCCCCTATGGTGAAAGCTCCCCTAAGCACAGCACGTCTCCCAGAGCAGTGGACCGAGAAGACGACACTGTTCCCACTTCCGTGACTGTGACAAACTCCCCTTTTCCAGTGAGTTTGCCACGAGTTCTTGGAGGTGACTATTGCCCCTTTAAATTATTTTGGCTGGGAGACCCTAATTGTGCCTATTGGGACTTAGCACAATGTTCTTCAAACTTTCGAAGTAGCTGCGGCCATTTTATTTAATCGAACATGTTCAGCTGTGTCCGATTTGAGTTCCACGAACGCGACAGCACGAACACCGCTGAACTTTGGCTATTCGAACAGGAGTCAAACGGCCTTCGGTGAGTTAAAGCCCACGAACAAGGGACACATTGAATATGCTCATTTACCATTCCGTTATTTGACTGTTTTAAATAGACCGGCTGCACAGCCTAATTCTCTGGAACTGTTTTGGGCATGAATCCGTGCGGTCAGTCAAAAGAGACTTCCAGGAATTTCCTGAACCCCTGCTCTGATCTGGGTGATTTTTTTGATATGTTGTTCACCCAAATCAGGAGCTGTGTTATGTTTTGGGGTACTTATGGGACTTTATAAAAATGTGTCTTTTTCTGCCTATGGATAATTAGGTTATTGTATTTTCTACCTTTATTGTATCACAGGGAGAGGGGAGGGATTGTGTACAGCATCTGTGAGTGTCTGAATATACAACACTGTTTTTTTCATTGGCTTATTGATTTTATGTCCTGTGCCCCACAAAGTCCACCTGGGCAGTAACCTTGTGGGGAGACTTGTATAAAAGGCAGTATGCCTCTATTAAACTGATATTCCAGCTTACACTCCAAAACTGTGTGTCGTCCTGTTATTAGAGGGAAATAAGATTTACTCCTGTGGCTGCTGTTCCAGCTTGCAGGAGATTCGATGGTGAAAGGCCTTGTAAGGACTAGAACAAATGCCCCATTCGGTTCCAGAGGTCCCAGGACTGAGTGTCATCCAGTTCCTGGAGGTGTCAGAGCTAACTCCCCATTCGGCTCCATGAAGGAGCGGTTCCAGGGCCTCCGTCAAGCTACGGCGACTGAAGGCCAGAGTGCTGAAGTTTTGCCCACTGTTCCAGAGATACAGGGAGCTCTGTTACAGTGACTTTCACAGGCGCAAGTATAGGACTATCTGGCTAGCACAATTTCCCCCCTGTAGTCAAATTTGCCCCCTGCAGTCAAACTCCGCCATTTTAAAGCCCGTCGCCCTTAAAACCTGGCACAGAGCTTGGAGGTGGTAGATAACATAACTAGATCCACCAAGACTAGCATGGCTAGATTTAAGTTTCCCCACATTACTGTATTACTAGGGATAAAACCGATCAATTGTACACCACAATACACATATGGGGGAATACCCCATCAATTGTTCTAGACAAGCGGTCCCAAGCTTTCTAGCCACTAAATACCATCAGGGAATTGCTGAAGCCTTCACCGAGGTCCCCAATTACTGTCAGGCTGTTCTAAAACATTTGCAAACAAAACAAAAACATTAGATTACTCCGCTCAACTTGTCTTGGGCCAATAGTCACCCACATAAAATGTTCTAAGAGTCGCTTTCACAGCAGCACATGCCGGGCAGGAGCTACCAGCTTCACCCCCATATAGTACCCTTCTAGGTACTCAGCTACCTCATTGCATCAGTTATGTTTTTAGTTCAATGTTTTATTTTGTTTGCAACTGTATGTGTCACCTTATCTATATACCTACATCTCCTACCCCTGCTTCATGTAGCACAAGATCTACTCCCACATAGCAGTGAGACACAATTTCTCCTTTGACTGGAGAGATGAATATCACATTCCTAGGTATCAACATCACTAAAACCCCGCATAAGCTCTTACAACATAGTTACACCAAACTGTTACAAGAACTTACACGCACTTTTCAAACCTGGGAAAATTATTTCTTATCGTGGCATGGGCGGTTGGCAGCCTTTAAAATACTATTACCAAAATACCACTACAAATCCCCCTTCCCAACCATTAAATACCAAATTGCTCTGGGCTGGTAAAAACCAAACACAACCTAGAGTGTCCACCTGAATTCTTCACCCCCTTGAGGGGGTGAAACTTTAGTACAAGGCAGCATTGTTCTCATTTATAGTAACACACTCCACACGAGATACCTCAACGGGTTCAACTATAAGCACACTGGACATTCCCAAAAGGATTGAAATACATAGTTTTGGACGGAAAAAAAAAAAACGCCACACACTCCAGACCCCCTTTGCCAGACAGCACCAAATTACACCTTCACTCCTTAGCCACTCCACTGTATAGCATACACCTCAGCAATCCCACCTTCAATTACACAATATGGCAACATAGTGGCTGCACACATGTGGCAGGCTTATTTCAGGGCTCATCCTTGAAGAGCTTCCTAGACCTTCAAACCCAATACCAAGTACCGCAGAAAGTCATCTTTTCCTATCTCCAACTCAAGTCATATATGCAGACACTACCATTCCCCATATTAAGCAAGTTTGAATCTCTATGCCTTGCCCCACATAAACAAGAAAATCCTATCCACCATTTACCAAGTACTCCCTACAACACATTTAGCCAGGAAGACATGTACACGATAGCATGGCACAAGGAGTTAGACAAGACCTTTACCACAGAGCAATAGCAAGAGGCATATATGTTGCACAAGAGAACCACGACATGTACAATGCATCTGGAAATAATCCGCAAATCACAACACAGATGGTACCTGGTCCCAGCAAGGCTAGCGCAAGTCTATCCCGGCACGTCTTAATACATGCTGGATGGATCATGATGCGGTTGGCACCATCTACCAGGTTTGGTGGCAATGCCCATAATTAAAGATCGACAGATTTTTTTTTTTTTTTTTTAGAGATGATACTCTGAACTTTCAGGCTGATATTCTGTACATTTACCATTTTGAAAAAATAAACTATTTCTAAAGGTAAATGCACAAATTATGCATGCTATATGTAGTGGATGCAGAGTGTGTGGCTGTATTTGCATGCATGCCATATGTAGTGGATGCAGAGTGTGTGGCCGTGTTTGTATAGTGCGTGTTTGTAAAGGGATGTAATTTGTGTAAAATGGGGAGGAGGGGCATTTATTTTAATGTTTTGGTTTTTGTCCCCCCCTCCCTATTTTCATACTTGGCCAGGGAGGAAGGCTTTAGCAGTCCCTGGTTTTCCAGTGGCATGTACTGGGTGGGGGTCAGCAGCAAGCTGTTACTCACCTTCCCAGCAGCTCCCTGTGTAAATCTCGCGGTCTGCGTGCAGCGTTGCCATGGTAACCAGTGGCAGCCCATGGCAACGCTCTGACGGCCGCAAGATTCGCAAGGTTTACACAGGGAAAATAACAGCTTGCTGCCGCCCGCCCCCCAGAGTTATGCCTACTATTTATAGGCCCGAAACAGCTACCCATCATTGATCGTAAATTACTATTCCACATTATCATTGCTGCCAACACCTTACTTGCTAGGAGATGGAAAACGACAGTCATACCCACAAGGGATTAGTTGTTGCAGCAAATATCTACCAACTGGACATATCAGCTGATGGCAAACTCACAATTTAGATCTGCCACGGCTACACAACTCGCTAGGGACAGATGGAAGCAACAATGGTTAGCTCAGACATAGCCAACATAATGGGTATTAATAATTTGGTCTCTCACCATAAACTGCATGGGTACCTTACCCAGTCTCCACACACACACCACAGTCTCTCCCAACTGACTAAATTTCTCGCACTGTATCGTGAAACCGTCCTGATCACTTGTAAATGTTGTATGAACCAAGAATAGTCAACTCTGTCTAGTGCGAGGATGCACAATGGAAACCAACACGTTGGGTTATGCATTATGTATCACTTGTCATATATGGACTTTTGTTTACGCCCCCCACATCTTATTTTCTGAAATGAAAAATAATTGTCCTAAAAAAAAAAAAAAAAAAGAAAAAAATATACACATTTTTACATTGCATAAATACAATGTTTCTTCCCCCCAGTAAAATTTTGGAGCACAGGCATCTGATGTAAAACATCTAGTCCAGGGGCAGGTAACCTTCGGCACTCCAGATGTTGTGGACTACATCCCCCCTAATGCTATTATACCCATAATGCTGGCAAAGCATCATGGGAGGTGTATTCCAAGACATCTGTAGTGCCAAAGGTTGCCTATGCCTGATTGAGTAGATAAGAGACAAGGGTTTATTAAAACAGGTTATAATACAGAGTAACAAAAACAGACAAGTGTCAAAAAACTCAGTAGCTTGTCCCTTTGGTTCGTCCCCGCTTAGGTCTCAAATGTTTTTGCTCACTTGCGCCATCACAAAGAGAACCAGTCAATTTGCATATCAGATTGATCCTGCCGGAAGGGAAGTCCAAAACAGCATGACATGTTACCAAGGATAGTAAGAAAAAGAAAGGAAAAAAGTTCCTAATAAAACATTTTACATAGTATAAAAGAAATACTTTATTATAAATTTTTCCGTAACAAACAAACATTAAAAATCCGAGCTTAATTTTGACCAGTTGAGCCGAATCCACCAGCGCCACGCTCCGTGTCATCTAAAACCTAGGAAAAGAAAGTGAGTTTATTAAAACAAATGCAGATGCACTACCCCTTCCCTCAGAGCTCTCAATGTAGCAATTAAGTCCCAGTTGAACAAATTTAAAATTGGCAACATGGAACAGAAAATGCTTTATTATAAACACAAATTGAGTAGACTATGTGCCTGGGAAAACAATTTCCCACCCGCCAATGGGAAGCCTATATCCTGCCAGCACTATATTGAGATTCAATGGTTATGTTACTGTGCTCCTTTAAGTATCCAGACAATGCATTAACCCAATGTATGCTTAATATTCTTGCAGTGACTTACGTTGACCTCGTCAAGATCAGGATATACAATCCTCTCACATATTAACTGAGCCACTCTGTCCCCTTTTTTCACTGGAGGAAAAGAAAAAGAAGAACGTTATGAAGATACAAAGAGGGGTCAGGATTTTATAGTCAGGGTTTGGTATGGAGATAACAGTAATTGTCACAGGAGCGTTGCCTTATGCGGCTGGCTTTATTAATTTTTATGCTAAAGAGGTGCCTCTTGTAAACAGGTTTATCTTTGTTCTGTATGTTTAGTGACTTAATCAGGATAGGGCCAGATAACGTTCTTACATGCTTAATTACACATTCATTAAGCAGTCATTCCTATTTGCCATGTATCTTGCTTACACACAAAAATGTCACTTAATACTTACCTACAAAAGGTTCTTTACCAAAGTTAAATAATACAACCCCAACATTTCCTCGGTAGTCCTCATCCACCACACCAGCTATTCGAGAGAAAAAAAAAAACCTATTAGGCTTGAAACTCATACAGGCACATAGACCCAAGTAAATGGCTACTGTACAGGACTGTCTTTTATAGGGACAGAGATGCCCCTTAAGTCAAAAAGGGTCTCAAAGAATTAAATTGAGATATTCCATTAGAGTTGAATAATTCTAGCCTCAATTTAGGATTAGAAAAGCTTTTAAAATAATGTAATATACTTTTATGTGCATTTTTTGCTTAATAAAAGAATCACATTGAGGCAACTGTAATTCAAAAGCTTCAGCTTCACCATGCATGCTGAAAAGCAGGCAATTATGAAGACTCAGTTTGATTTGATTGCGGTTAAAAAAAAACCCCAAAAAACAATTAGTCAAGTGATGCATGTTCCTTTAAGAAACATTGACTAGACTTTTCAAATGATTTTTATTTAGCAAAGACAAATATAATGCAATACATACAACTAGGTTGTATAGTCATGTGGTTCACAAATCCAGTGCAGGTTATTAATAGTATGCAACTACACTGCCTCCACACCACTTCTGTTACACATTTTAAATAACATCAAATGTAAAAACTAGTGGAAAAATGAGATATACAACTCCAAAAAGTCAGACCCTTACCTCCAACATCAATGAAATACTTAGCAGCCAAACCTGATCGGGGAGCTGAAGAGCAAAGAAACAAATATTATTTTCAGGTATTACCAAGTATAGCAGAGATATTTTAAATAAGTAACTACAGGTGTCATAATGTGCAGCATGCCACTTTCAGGTATGCGGAATTTATATTGCCTGATGCTCAGGACATGCAGTTCCAGGTATCAGGCAGCAAGATTTATTTATTTTTTTATTCTTTTAGCCCTGCTGTAGGAAAGTGGCAAGACTGCCTTGGGGGAGTTGGTGCCAGGCAGAGACTCTCTGGCAGGCGTAACGAGAAACAGTGATGGGGGCCAGTTGCAGCGAAGTGTGAGAAGCAGCAGCCAACAACTTCTCACAATGCACAGATTGGCCACCAACACTATAAAGGGCAGAGAGCATGGGACAGGGTGCACATCCACTGATCAGATGTTGCTTAGCTGTGCTGTGAGTGGGTCAGAGAGAATGTGTAGTTTGTATGGGTCATGTGTCTGCATGCGGGCCAATGTGATCACAATCACATACAGCCACCAAACAGATTAAACCCAGCAAGCACACTATGAAAAAAATTGGGAGACTATGGGACAGCATAGAGACAGCGTAATTTTTTCCCAAAATAAACCCATTTGGCAAAACGGAGGCAAAAATAGCCATGTTGTGCATATAGCAAAGTTAGAGCATATTTCCACGTTCACTATTGTTGCCTACATTTCTTCCTTTTAAAATTTATTTTGTTAAAGTTCAGGAAATAGTCCTGTCAATGTCCATTGTTGTGTAATGACAAGTAGATTTTTTTTTTTTTTAATTAAATTTACAAACCCATGCACTTTAGGTAAATAAAGAATAATCTTTATGGAATAAGTGACTTTGTTGTGTGTGGCAAGCCTAGCCACTTTAGATGTGCGGTTATATGTCTAAAGGTTGTGCTAGAAAGCTGGCCCAATTCTGTTAGGTTCCGTATTTACTGTAATAGAGAGCATTCGTATGCGAACAGCCAAAAGACACTTTCATTCATATGGTAGTTTCACAAACAGTGACTTTCCACACGGTTCGTGAAACGAATTAAGTACCGAATGGGAGCCCACACACAAGGGGTTGTGTGGCTCCCATTAAACGATTGCAACATTGTAGCAATCGGCTGCTAAATGATTTCCCAGGTGGCCGTCGTTTGGCTATCGACCATGAGGCAGCGGCCATCTTGGAGTTCCCTTTTGCCCAGCAGTGTTTGGTCGTCGAATGCCTGAAACTAAAAATCGGCTACTCGACGGCACGAACACCACTGGACTTCCAAGCCGTTCGGGAGCGCTGGTCTTTCGGTACCTTTTCCCCAATGGTGTATACGGGACTTTAATGATGAATGCATATTAAAGTGTGTTTTCGTGCAGCGTTCGGTTATTTATGCTGGGATCTGAGCGGTACAATAGCACGAATAAAATATAAGTTACTGATTTTTGTGTGAAAAGCCGGTTCTGCTGTACGGAGGGATAATCCACTTAACAGGATATTCACGTGGTAGTATCCCTCTTGTACAGCAGTGCATGGTGGGAGAAATGTTCTGCATATTCAGTTTCCCCATGTAGTCCCCTACTGTACAACCCCTGTAAAGTAATTAAGGAGACCCCTTGCATAGGGAATCACAAATACTGCAGCTTATGAATAAAATCATGAGGCGACTCCCAGAACTGTGTTTCGTCCGGTTACTGGGGGATTTGGGATATTGCCTTCCTTTTCAGCGCTTTACTTGGATTACTTTCTGTACCAGCAGAGATATTGGGATTTAACATTGCAGCTCTGCTACATTGTGTATTTGTGATTTTCCCAGCCCAGAATGCCATTCTCAATAATAAATTAACCAGGAAAGGTACATTCAGATTACACTGGTTTTCAAATACATCCTGGGGATGTTACCTTAGAACACTTTCAGTATATTAGACAGATTTTTGCAATCTTGGTACTTGAACTAATTTATTTAAATGTGAAATAAAAGATAATGGGGGTAGGGGGTGGCAGAGAGCATACAATAAGCTACCATTAAAAGGAATAATCACAGAGCAAAGCCACCTTACCTACTCTTCCATAACAACCAGTGGGAACACATATTTGGATATCTGTTTTCACCACAGCTTTGTCCATGGCAGGTATCAAATAATCATATGCACTGTATAAAAAAAATAAAATAAAAAATAAAAAGATTATAATATATTTGAGACAGAGACAGACAATAGGGGGCCAAAGTTTTTTTATTAAATGACAAAAATACAATTCTTAAAGGGACACTATAGTCACCACGATCAATACAGATTAACCCCTTAAGGACACATGACATGTGACATGTCATGATTCCCTTTTATTCCAGAAGTTTGGTCCTTAAGGGGTTAATGTAGTGGTTCTGGTGTCTATAGCCTGTCCAGTCAGAGAAAGGGAAGTGTTTACATTACTAGTGACACCTCTAGTGGCAGTCACTCAGACTGTCACTAGAGGTGCTTCTTGTGTCAGTGTTGCAGTAACTACATTCAGCATCTTCACGCACTGCATGGAGACGCTGATCTTCCCCATAGAGATGCATGAATTCAAGATGAGATGCTGTTTGGTGCAGCATATCGCAGCCAATCATACGTCAAAACATTGGATTGGCTGATATCAAGCTTAAAAATCTCAGCCATAGAGGCAGGGCCAGTCGAGGGGAGACCAAGGTGAGTAAAAAGCACTTCCCTTGCAAATGGAAGGGGTCTGGTCACCTAAACACCATGACAAACACATGCTGGTGGATCGCGCAGGCATAGAAACATAGAATGTGACGGCAGATAAGAACCATTCGGCCCATCTAGTCTGCCCAATTTTCTAAATACTTTCATTAGTCCCTAGTCTTATCTTATAGTTAGGATAGCCTTATGCCTATCCCACGCATGCTTAAACTCATTTAATGTGTTAACCTCTACCACTTCAGCTGGAAGGCTATTCCATGCATCCACTATCCTCTCAGTAAAGTAATACTTCCTGATATTATTTTTAAACCTTTGTCCCTCTAATTTATGACTATGTCCTCTTGTTGTGGTAGTTTTTCTTCTTTTAAATATAGTCTCCTCCTTTACTGTGTTGATTCCCTTTATATATTTAAATGTTTCTATCATATCCCCCCTGTCTCGTCTTTCCTCCAAGCTATACATGTTAAGATCCTTTAACCTTTCCTGGTAAGTTTTATCCCGCAATCCATGAACTAGTTTAGTAGCCCTTCTCTGAACCCTCTCTAAGGTATCAATATCCTTCTGAAGATACGGTCTCCAGTACTGTGTACAATACTCCAAGTGAGGTCTCACCAGTGTTCTGTACAATGGCATGAGCACTTCCCTCTTTCTACTGCTAATACCTCTCCCTATACAACCAAGCATTCTGCTAGCATTTCCTGCTGCTCTATTACATTGTCTGCCTACCTTTAAGTCATCAGAAATAATCACCCCTAAATCCCTTTCCTCATATGTTGAGGTTAGGACTCTATCAAATATTCTGTACTCTGCCCTTGGGTTTTTACGTCCAAGATGCATTATCTTGCACTTATCCACATTAAATGTCAGTTGCCACAATTCTGACCATTTTTCTAGTTTACCTAAATCATTTGTCATTTGGCTTATCCCTCCTGGAACATCAACCCTGTTACATATCTTAGTATCATCAGCAAAAAGACATACCTTACCATCAAGACCTTCTGCAATATCACTAATAAAAATATTAAAGAGAATGGGTCCAAGTACAGATCCCTGAGGTACCCCACTGGTGACAAGTCCAAGCTTCGAATATATTCCATTAACTACAACCCTCTGTTGCCTGTCACTCAGCCACTGCCTTACCCATTCAACAATATTGGAATCCAAACTTAAAGATTGCAGTTTATTGATAAGCCTTCTATGTGCAACAGTGTCAAAAGCCTTACTGAAATCTAGGTAAGCAATGTCTACTGCACCACCCTGATCTATAATTTTAGTTACCCAATCAAAAAAATCAATAAGATTAGTTTGGCATGATCTCCCTGAAGTAAACCCATGTTGTCTCTGATCTTGAAATCCATGTGTTTTTAGATGTTCATCAATCCTATCCTTTAACATGGTTTCCATCACTTTCCCCACTACTGAAGTAAGGCTTACAGGCCTATAGTTGCCCAACTCCTCCCTATTACCTTTCTTGTAAATGGGCACAACATTCGCTAACTTCCAATCTTCTGGGACTACTCCTGTTAACAATGATTGGTTAAATAAATCTGTTAATGGTTTTGCTAGTACACCACTAAGCTCTTTTAATAGCTTTGGGTGTATTCCATCAGGTCCCATTGACTTATTTGTCTTTACTTTTGACAGTTGAAATAGAACCTCTTCCTCTGTAAACTCACGTGTAATAAATGACTCATTTATCCTTTTTCTCAACTGAGGTCCCTTTCCTTCATTTTCTTCTGTAAATACAGAACAAAAATATTCATTGAGGCAGTCAGCCTGACCTTTATCCTCTTCTACATACCTTCCTTCTTTTGTTTTTAATCTAACTAATGCTTGTTTTACTTTTCTTTTCTCATTTATGTATCTAAAAAATGTTTTATCCCCCTTTTTTACTGACTGTGCTATTTTCTCTTCTGTGTGTGATTTGGAAGCTCTTATAACTTGCTTAGCCTCTTTCTGCCTAATCTTATAGATCATTTTGTCTTCCTCACTCTGGGTTTTTTTATAATTCCTAAATGCTAACTTTTTGTTTTTAACTATTTTGGCCACATCTGCGGAGTACCACAGTGGCATGCTGGTGGATCGCGCAGGCATGCTGGTGGATCGCACATTGTTGCCAGGCAGCGTCATATTCCAGACCCAGCCTCAGTAAGAGGCGAAGGAGCACAGCAAGCCCATCATAGCTCCCTCGCTGCCAGCCTACTATCACACAGCCAGCTGGCAACCTGCACGAAGACCCAGCTTGCCACCCGCCTGCACAATCCCCAAGCTTGCCACCCACCTCTGAAGGTAACTGGCTCACATATCCCAGGCGCCATGGCAGAATTCCTAGGTGTCATGGCGACCAGGGCGCTGACAAGCCCTGTTGTAAACTAAACAAAGCTCCTTGTATTGGGCAGACAGTCAATGTCTCAGTGCAGTACTAGTACAAGACAATAGAGGGCCAGCACTCCACTAGAAATGTGTGTGCAAGTCTCCAACATCTAAGTCCAATTATCTCACGTACAGTAGAGAAGCTATAATTAGCCGCAGAACCACAATAAATGTTAGGGAGCTTCTGTCTATATAAAATACTATTTTTTCCAACGACAGTGCCCCTTTAAGTGAAAAACTGGCAACTGAAGCTTTGTCCTTAAGCGGTTAAAGACTAACTCAAAGTGTCAAATAATAGCTAGTGTAGTCTGCAGCAAGTATGGACAAGGGAATTTTCAAACCATCAATAAAAAAAAAAAAATAGTAATATAGAATTAAGAGGAAGGAGGGAGTTCTAAAGTACAAGATATTAACCTGACTAACTCAGGAAGCAGAGGGCATTTCCCTCCAAAATACTTTAGCAATGCTGACTTTTACAGGAGATCAAAAAAAATAAAAATAAAAAAAAAATAAAATTGCTATTTTTCTGTAGACAAGTTTATAACAAGTTACAATTAAAAGAAAGATGACAGAAGTGTACACAGTGGGGTGGGTAGGTTACCAGTGTACAGTTTAACATGGTGGGCAGGGTACACGTTACCATGGTTAGTGTACACAGTGGGGTGGGTGGGTAGATTACCATGGTTAGCAGAGCACACAGTGGGGTGGGTAGGTTACCATGGTTAGCAGTGTACACAGTGGGGTGGGTGGGTAGGTTACCATGGTTAGCAGTGTACACAGTGGGGTGGGTAGGTTACCATGGTTAGCAGGTTACACAGTGGGGTGGGTGGGTAGGTTACCATGGTTAGCAGGTTACACAGTGGGGTGGGTGGGTAGGTTACCATGGTTAGCAGGTTACACAGTGGGGTGGGTGGGTAGGTTACCATGGTTAGCAGTGTACACAGTTGGGTGGGTAGGTTACCATGGTTAGCAGTACCTACCTGTACAGGTCATACCCGGCGGCCTTGGCGGAGCCCCTGGTGGGGGTGAAGGCATGGTCTGAGAGCTTGGCGAAGCGCAGTTTGGGGGCTCCCCTCTGTGCCAGGGCAGGGTCATCCTCTTTGGGGCGTTTGACAGGAGAGGCAGAGAGCGTGGTGACCGGCATGGTGGGAGATTAAAAACACAGTGAGAGACCCGGCCCCTTACCGCTCCCGCCAATTTAAACTTCCCGCAAAAAAACTAAATATGGCCAGCCCCCCTCTCCTCCCCTCCCCGACAGCCGGGGTTAACCCCTTCACTGCCGGGCTGGAGATGCAGGACATAGAACTCAATGCTGGGTGCCTTCCCAGCCACTGGGAATAGCTCTCCCCCTGCTAGGGACTACGTTTCCCATGAGGCTCTGCGTCCTCAGGATAACACAGGTCACAGCAGCCCACCGGGATATGAAGGGTTAATAGCTAACCTATAGTTATAATAATGATAATATGGCATTGTCAGGCCAGGGTGTGTGTGTGTGAAATATACTGGTGTAGTACTATTATTACAAATAATAACAACGTGTTTACAGCTAAATATAAAGCTGTAATACCATAATGGTAGATGGGCCATGTTTTGCACAGGCGGCAGCCATGTTTCCGTGGCCTGGTGTTTGTGCACTACAATTCCCGTCATGCTCGGACATGCGAGCGGCCGCCTGAGCATCATGGGAGTCGTAGTTCAGAGAGGTGTGCTCAGTAAGCGCTCTGTGTTGCTGTCAGTAGGTAGATAAGGGGTTACCTGTCCTGCTGCTGGAGCCCCTGGTTGATGCCGAGGGCCGAGGGGCTCGGTGGGGGGTGAGGGAGAGTAATTTGCGGCAGCAGAGCCGAGACCGGGTAACAGCAGAGAAGCACAGAGCGGCAGCCATAGTCAGCCAGGGAGAACAGAGCTCTGTCACTGCTGTGCTGCCCTGCCCTCACTATGTATACTGACAGACACACTGCCATGACACCATGCCCTCACTATGTATACTGACAGACACACTGCCATGACACCATGCCCTCACTATTTATACTGACAGACACACTGCCATGACACCGTGCCCTCACTATTTATACTGACAGACACGCTGCCATGACACCATGCCCTCACTATTTATACTGACAGACACGCTGCCATGACACCATGCCCTCACTATTTATACTGACAGACACACTGCCATGACACCATGCCCTCACTATTTATACTGACAGACACACTGCCATGACACCATGCCCTCACTATTTATACTGACAGACACGCTGCCATGACACCATGCCCTCACTATTTATACTGACAGACACACTGCCATGACACCATGCCCTCACTATTTATACTGACAGACACACTGCCATTACACCGTGCCCTCACTATTTATACTGACAGACACACTGCCATTACACCGTGCCCTCACTATTTATACTGACAGACACACTGCCATGACCATGCCCTCACTATGTATACTGACAGACACACTGCCATGACACCATGCCCTCACTATGTATACTGACAGACACACTGCCATGACACCATGCCCTCACTATTGATACTGACAGACACACTGCCATTACACCATGCCCTCACTATTGATACTGACAGACACACTGCCATGACACCATGCCCTCACTATTTATACTGACAGACACACTGCCATGACACCATGCCCTCACTGCCATGACACCATGACTGACAGACACACTGCCATTACACCATGCCCTCACTATTTCTACTGACAGACACACTGCCATGACACCATGCCCTCACTACTATTGATACTGACAGACACACTGCCATGACACCATGCCCTCACTATTTACTGACAGACACACTGCCATGACACCATGCCCTCACTACTACTGACAGACACACTGCCATTACACCATGCCCTCACTATTTCTACTGACAGACACACTGCCATTACACCATGCCCTCACTATTTCTACTGACAGACACACTGCCATTACACCATGCCCTCACTATTTCTACTGACAGACACACTGCCATTACACCATGCCCTCACTATTTCTACTGACAGACACACTGCCATTACACCATGCCCTCACTATGTATACTGACAGACACACTGCCATTACACCATGCCCTCACTATGTATACTGACAGACACACTGCCATTACACCATGCCCTCACTATTTCTACTGACAGACACACTGCCATTACACCATGCTGCTGGCAATCCCTGCACGCCATTCTGACAGCTGGTGCCTGGAGTGTGTGTAGTGTTTGACTATGAAAATCTGCACATACTAAGTATAGCCCCTGTGCTGCTGGAGAGGTAACTCCTGTCTCTAAATGTATAGGGGTCCCCTACCCTCCCATTCGTCATTAAAAAAATGACCTTTTTATTTACCTTTTTTCCAATCTCCTCCCCTTGATGACTTGGTTGTTGCAGCAGTACACCCTTCTAGTGACTGTCAGCATGACAGCTACTGGAGGCTGTGGTGTACTTTGGTTCGGTGCTGCCCTAGGCATGACTAATCTGACATGCACTCATTCATTGACAGATGCACACTGACAGACACTTATTGAAAGACACACCCTGATAATCAAACACAGACTCAATGACAAACAGACTTTCACTGATTTGACAGACACTCAGAAACACTCACACTGACAGACACACTCATACACACACTCAGACACTCATATGCACACATATACCCACAGACAGACACACACTCACAGACACACAAACACATACACTCAGTCACACACACACTCACAGACACACTCATACACACACAGATGCACTCATACACTCACAGAAACACACACTCACTAATTATTAATATTATTGTAATACTATTTTTTCACCCAGCCTTCCTACCTGTCATTGGGGGTCCAGTGGGGCTGCTGTGAGGCGGGCGGCTGTATTAACATGCGAGGCGGCGAGGGAGCTGTGATCTCCTTGCTCTGCTCCCTCGCGCCTCACGGTCCGTCTACTGAAGTCAGGAGCAGGAATATGACATCATATTCCATCTCCTGCGGCATCAGCAAATGGCGCGCAAGGGAAAAGAGCAGGGAGATGACAGCTCCCTCGCCACCTATGATTCTCACACAGCCATTAGGATGGCCAGCAGGCCTGCCCTGGGACCCCAATGACAGGGAGAGCACCGGGGACGCCCAAGTGGATGTTTGGGGGCGGCATTTTTTGCTGCCCCTTTGTTAGTACCGTCCAAGGCAAATGCCTAGTTTGCCTTGGGCTAAATACGCCACTGACTGGAGGTGTGTTTAAACCTGCAATGTAAACCTGTATTTCTAACACTATACTGTAGTGTCCCTGGCCTTAGATAGGTCCCGCCCCTTACCTTTCACCGCCTATGCTTGATAACAGAGATGCAGTAGTGCAATACTCAATGCTATCTTTGCTCTTCTTGTAAAGCATTTCCTATGTGAGAGGCTAGTAGTGAGCAAATTGGAAGTCTCTTCCAGTCCAGCATCACACACAGTTCCTGAAGGAGCTGGGAGTGTTTTACTCTCTGTATAACTGTTCCTGTGCACTGCTATCAAGTACAAGAGGCTGACTGGACTACAGGGTAAACTGGCCAAGGCTCCTGGTACTCTCCCCATTTGCCCACTTGACCTCCAAAAAAAGCACTTTATAAGTGCTGAAAACAAGTGCATGTAGGCAGGGGCTTATCCTTGCAAATGGAGAATCCATCCCTGTGGCTAATATCAATTGTGTGCAAATTTCTATGCACAGACGATCATTCATTTGCAGAGAGCAATCAGATGATGCTCTAAGCCAGGCTTCCCCAAACGCCGGCCCTCCAGATGTTGCTGAACTACAACTCCCGTGATTCTATGAATGAAATAGACAGGCTGAGAATCATGGGAGTTGTAGTTCAGCAACATGTGGAGGGCCGGAGTTTGGGGAAGCCTGCTCTAAGCTAATCAATGAGCAGTAGGATCGGAAACCTGGTTTCTGCAGCTGTACATAATATGGATGTTATAATTCTGCTGAATATGAGGCGCAGCAGGACCCCGGTAACAGAGCAAATTGTTTTAAAACGGTTTGCCTCATTACCAGGGAACGACACCAGGGTATGTCTACCATCATAACCACTACAGCAGGCGAAAGAGATTGAGATTGGCGACGTGTGTTGCATTAAAATTTGACAAGTGAGGTTATAGCATTTTCAATTTGCTGTCTTTTATCTTGGTTTAAATTGGTGAGATATATTTAGTTGGCAGAAATGTAACAGATGTGGAAGAGGCCGGAAGAGAAGGAGACAGATAAAAACAAAAACAAATTTTCACTGGATTTGTATACAGATTGTTAGATTTCACTTGAATTTTAATTTTCAGTGCACAAACGCCTTGCAAGTTATTCTCATGAGATGTTGCAGTTTGCATAATGTTTTTAAGTACTTGCATTATGCATTAAAACTTGAATGATTTTATTATATCTTAAGGAAGGTCTGATACCAGACTACTGTTGAATAATTATGAATATATTTATGAATTGATACAATTGATGATGACAAATTCAATGCATCTCTATGGGAGTTTATTGCTCTCTCAGAATTTTCTCTGCCGGTGTAATGGAATAGATATGAACGCTAGTAAATGTATTTTCACATAACTTTTTTATGAAAATTAAATTTGCACATGCTGGGCTCTATTAAATCAGGTCAATGGCCTTTGGTTAAATGGACACTTTCTGGAAGTTGTGATTTGGTTCTTCAAATTTAGCTTTTCCCATTATTGACCTCTGCTAATGATAAATGGACTTTCTTCCTCTCTCCTATGATTTAACACATACTTGTGAATTACACTTTTCCAGACCTGCATTTTTCTTAAAGGAACACTACATTGCAAAATATACATGTAATTAATAATTATGCATTTTTCATTGGGATTATATCTAAAAACCGCTTACAAAAGCTACAGATCTATTTGTCTGCAGCCTTTGCAAGCCCGTCCTTCTAACCCCGCCCACACTTTCTGTGGCTGTCCAATTACAGACGTCCCATTGCAGCTCAATGAGAAGTCTTTACAAGTCAAGTGCTCTGGGCAAAGTATCAACAACTTTCAAAACATATTTACAGTGTTACCATACCACCTACTGTAAATACTGTATCTCTTTAGAATTATTAGAGAAGGAAAATACCGGCACTCAAGGATTTTCATATGTTTAATAGAGATGTCGCGAACCGTCCGCGAACTTCTCGTGAACGGTTCGCCGCGGTTCGCCACGAACCGTTCGCGGAGAACTCCGGTCAGCTGACACATCCCTGCCAATCTCCGGCAGACCCTCCCTCCCAGACCCTCCCACCTCCTGGACAGCATCCATGTTGAAGCTGCCTTCAACATGGATGCTGTCCAGGAAGTAGGAGGGTCTGGGAGGGAGGGTCTGCTGGAGATTGGCCGGGATGTGTCACATGACCGGAGTTCGCCGCGAACGGTTCGTGGCAAACAGTGGCGAACCGTTCACGAACGGTTCGCGACATCTCTAATGTTTAAATCTTCATTTATTGCGAAGGATAAATCGACGGTTCAGCTCCTCTAGGGAGCTTTCATCAGGACACATCTTTAGAATTATTGCTACATTATTTTGTCTGGCTTTTATAACTCGCTAATAGGGTTTCTTTTGAAACTTTGTTTCCTTTTTGTTGTATCACACTGTTAGAATGACCACTTAGATCAGCTGTGCATTATCTGCACAAAGTAGTCACAAAGTGTTGCTAAGGTTGAATGTTTCACAGATACACTAAACAATATATGGTGTTTATATTTTCTGTGCATTACTAAGTGGAACAAATGACCTGGGATTTACCATCTGAAATGCTGTCCGTGAAGTTTGCAAGGGTTGGATGATTTCACAGTCACCATTATATTTAAAAAGCTGACTATTATTTGTATTTGTGAGTAAAGTGTTAACATTTAAACCATTGTCTGCTTGTGATTACTCTGCACTGGTATTTTTTCCACTTATTCATATCTACATTTATTTTATAGTACATTTTGAAATATCACCTTATAGCAAAGAGTCAAGCAGAGTACACTGAAGCATACCCTGAACTGGGCGATAGGCTCTTAATAATTTGTGGATTTTTTTAAGTGCACACATTATTGATTATTATTAACCTTTTTTAAGTAAGTGCACACATTGATTATTAACCTGACATATTAACCTAAGAATTTTATATTTGTAGTTGTCATTCTTTTTTCTTTAAAGTAAACACTGCTGAAATGAATGGCATTTGCTGCTAAGCAGCTTGGAGCACAAGATAAGATGGACCTTCAACCCTCCAAAAAAAAGGGGAAAACACACTCTGCTGGTGCTGAACTAATTGTAAGATAAGGTCAAATTAATCTTTTATTTCTGGAAGTGAGAAGAGTGGCTGAGTGGTTGACAGCCTGGGAGGTGAGTCTAGGGTTGCAGAAATAAAGTCACTTGACTTATAAATGGCAGAGATACCAAAAATATAAACGTCCAGCACACATCAATAGGTGAAAAAGCCATACTGCACCGCTACAGTCCATAATGAACGCTGCTGCCAGACTGATTTTCCTCTCTAGTCGGTTATCTCACCCCTCTGCCAGTCCTTACATTGGCTTCCTGTATGCTATAGGAGTCAATTCAAGGTACTAATTCACACTTATAAAGCACTGAACAACTCTAGCCCCTCTTATATTTCCTCACAGATCCATGGGTATGTGCCTTCTCGGTCTCTCCGCTCTGCCCGTGACCACCTCCTGTACATTGTCCGCACCCGTACGGCCAACTCACGCTTGCAGGACTTCTCGCGGGCGGCTCCCTTCCTATGGAATAGCCTGCCTAGCGCCATCAGACTCTCCCCTTGCATCTTTTAAGAAGTGCCTTAAAACCCATCTCTTCAGGAAAGCTTATGGCCTCCCAGACTAACCACTACCTCACATACCTGACTCTTGTTCTCTCCTAAAGGGCAGCCCACCTTATTTGACTAGAAAATTCCTGTCCTAATGTGTTTCACACCCCACCTCCTATAGAATGTAAGCGCGATTGAGCAGGGTCCTCTTCAACCTATCGCTCCAGTAAGTTTTTTTTTGTAATTGTCCTATTTATAGTTAAATCCCCCTCTCATAATATTGTAAAGCGCAACGGAATCTGTTGACGCTATATAAATGGCGATAATAACAATAATAATAAAAAGCATTCCAGTTTTATTGAGGTACCTCACTTTTCATGTAGCACTTTAGCAGCACAGACAGAATATTACATTCAGTCAAAACACATATACTCACTCTTTTCTTCACTCCCTCCCTCACTCAACTCCACACATACATAACACGATCAGCCAACCCCTGCACAATCACACATGCCACTACAGAGATACCTAAATATGAAGTAGAGCTGAGTAAAACAAGCCTCTGTATAATTCTCCACTTCTCTGGACCGTTGGGGGTGATCCCGGTCCTTCCCCTGTGGCACCTATACGTGCAAAGACACCAGCACTCAGAGCTATGGTGGTGTCGACCCAGGGCTCAGAGGCCGCATCCAAAATGGCAGACACCGCGTGTTGAGCTACCTATGCAAGAGGGAAGACCAACGCTCACTCAACTCTATACTGGCAGACTGCCGCCGCGGGCAGGACAGAAACCGGCGGATGCCTGCTAAAACCCCACTTAGAATCTGTGTTCCGGTCTAGGGACGAGCCAGGTTATGGCAAAGAAGCCAGAGGCACACCAAGCCACCGCATGCAGCACTAAAGTGACCAGTGGAGGTCGGCACCTGCAAACCAATCCTCGAGCCTCCCCAAGTATACAGCCCGCAGAATGAGACACTGTTCCAGCGCCTTTGCTTTACCTGCCGTACCTCCCAGACTGCCACGTTGGGGACAAAATACATGGGCCAACTGCCTGCAGCTGCGGTGTTGAACCTGAAGATCAGCAAGGCCATTGGGATAGTCGTCTGAGACGCAAGTTAAACACTTGGGGACTACCACTCTGACACTTAACTAGATTACATCTCCTACAGCAGCTTTCAGGCTTTTGTCCCTCTCTGTTTCTTTATCTGGGTGGGTCTCATGGCACATAGTCCCTGACTGTCATCTTGCTGGCACGGGGATCATCAGGGGTGGAAAATCCTAAAGTTATAGTCTCACCTTTCTGATGCTTTTTCCTATTGTTGTTTTCAAGCTTTCTGGTAACCTTCACTCGGGCAGGAAGTTTAGCATGTTAAGCACATTGAATCACCATGTCTTTGAATTTAAACAGGCAGGCCTCAATATACAGTTGTATTAAACTTTGCTTCTCTGTCCTGTCTGAAAGCCCTGCAACAGCAGATTGCCTAGACATTTTGTAATACCTTGTTCTCTCCTCTACTTTAACAAAAACGTGCAGAATAAGGATGTCATATCAGTATTGTATCTTGTGTACTTCTATGATTGCCTACATATGCTGTTGTGGCAATGTCGTTTTTAATGTATTCACAAGCACAATAAAAATAAAGAATATAAAAAATAATAATAACCGACAAAGTAAACTTAAATATATTTATTAATCTTTAAAAATTACAAATATTCTAATTTTTAATCAAAAATTGATATGAGAAAGAATACTTTTTCTGTTTCTATAAGAATAGGTCCCTCCAAAATACAATGTAATACAATATATAGTTGATCCCACAGATGATCAATAAAAAAAAATAAAATAATAAACATAATATTTTCTTTGCTGATAAAATTCACATTTCAATTTAACAATAAATCTGGTTATATTTTATATGACAGATATATTTGCTATTGGATTTATAATATAATGGGCTTATATTTGTATTGTATATATTATTTGATACTTCAATCAAGTAGAGTGCAAGTAATGCAGGTGGAGTGTTAACTCTTAAAACCAGTTTACGAATAGAAAGTAAGAACATTTTTGTGATTTCCTCGCACCAATAACACCGGAGGGAGGTTTTTAGACAGAATTTCTACCCATGCCATGTAAAGGTGATCTGATATAGTTCCTTTTCTTGCAACTGGAAGGCTTCTGTAAATACAAAACAATGCAAAAGGTTACTCTATGATATCCTAATCTATAATAATTCCTAGCTGAATTGCTTAAATTAATAACAGGCTCTGATGATAATACAAAAGGAATTTAGGTTTTCAGTGCACTCTGGATTTTGTCTTTTCCTAGGTGCATTGCAGACCTGCACACTCCAGTCTGGATCCTCCAACAAAGACTAATTTTGGAACAAGGCTGCTTTCCATCCATTACCAACTACCTATTGCAACCCAATCCTTTTCCACTTTAGCTTATAAACCATTGTATTCCATCTACCGTATGTGCATTCACCATGAATTACCTTATAACCTGTTCATTAATTCCTCACGATGCCTCTCCTATTCCTAATTAACTGTATTTTCTCCAATGAATGTCATCCCTTTAGATTGTAAGCTCACGTGCCGATCTTCAGAGAACTTTGTATAATGACCCAAATGTCAGATTAAAGACTATGGACAGAGTTCAATACCCCTTTTTTGTTTCAGTTTTCCTGAATATATATCCCTCTGGCTGTTGCCCACCATATGAATAATTGCTATATTTTGTAAAGTGCTTTGGATAAGATTGCTATATAATAATTAGGTAAATATTGTACACTTTATTGTTAATATTTACCCCCCAAAAAAATTATCAAATCCATCTCCAGAATAGATCCCTTCAAATGCAATACATTTAAAGGGTTATTCCAACCCTATTTGATTCTACGAATAATGCCCTATTGGGAATTATTCCTAAGGTCCCATTAAAAAGGCTGAAAAAATAAATAAGATATATTTTATTTATTTTGAATCCTTTGCCGGTGCTAATTGGCACAGGCACACCCTCTTGTGACATCACGGGAGCCATACAGAGGTCCAATAAAAGGCTACTAAGGAAGCCTTTGGTTGGACCATTTAAATATTTCAGAGTGCATGCACTCATGTCAGTGAAGAGAGGGGGAGTGAGGAAGGAGAGATGGAGGGAGAAAAAAAAATAGTGGAGGTGATAGGGAGGAGCGGGGGACACAAGTTTCCCCTTGCAGGCTCTGCCTGCAATGGGAGAAGCAGATAAAGTCAGTTGTCAGTGTGCAGTGCACACTATTGACATAACATATGCACAGAATTTACATTAAGCAGACTAGACTTCCGAGCTGCCTAAGTCACATGTGCTGAGGGTGTAGCTAGCCCCCCGCACTCAATAGCAAATAACTCTGGATGTGCAGTATGTCCAGAAGAAACACTGCACTGCTACCAAGACCACTTCTAACAGCAGCATTGGTCATGGTGGTTGGAGTAAACATTTAATACCATACATGAAAATCATACTTACAGAACAATTAGGTTCGCTGATCGGGAATTTTCTTGTAAAAGTTCATTAAGTCTGACTTGACGATAACACTGTAAATAAATATTGCAGACTTTATTAATCATAGCAAACACTGGGCAAAATATAGTTTTCAAATGAGAGATTTACATAAGAATTTATGGAAATGGTTAATTTTATTCCTTGTATTCTTCCCCTTTTTTATAATTAGGTTTTACAATTTACAGAGTAATAAAGAATATATTCTATTACCGACATGAAGTGCCTAGCCACTTGGTTAATTTCATGACTCCATGCATTCTTTTGTGAATTTACATCAGCATAAGAACACTTTTCTTTTTTACCAGTGTTGAAACAGTCTCGATAATAATAATGTCCACAGATAAAATATTGTGTTGAATATATTTTCTTTGATTTATTATTCTCATTAAGATAGTTTCCCTTTTTATGGTTTATTATACCCGTTGTGCTGTGGCTTAGGTTCTTAAATGGACACCTCAGCACCATAACACCTTAATCGCAATGAAGTTGTTATGGTGCTTGTGTGGTCATTTAACCTATTTCCACAAGGATTGAATTATGTGTACACTCACAACTCATCCTTCAATTATAAAATGAGCTTAAATATTGACCAATTCTTCAATTATAATATACACCAGAAACAAAACATTCTATAAAATCCATTTAAAGCTGTTCCCAGTGGCAAAGGAGTTCTTATGGCGCTTGGGAAGAAACACCAAAAATAGCACGAGTACTGTAGGCTCTGTTCCTTTCTTTCTATACTACTGTTTACATACCTTGTCCTTAAATGTTTCCAGCTCAGAGTCTGTGATTTTCCAAGGATAATCTCTTCTTATTTTTTCAGCAGTAGACACGTCTTTGGAGCTCTCATGGAGTCGGTAAGGCTCAATCATCTCCTCAAAGAATTTCCAGCTACATCAGAATGAACAAGAGGTTAACTTGTTCTCTAACCAAACAACTCATCTTACTGTGAAATATAGAAGGCTCTTACCAGGTTATTAAAAGTGATTTTTTTTTTTTTTTTAAAGGTTTATCTCTTTTTTTTTTAGTTCTCTTTTTTTTATGAAGACATACAGAATGATACAGCTTAAAATTATCAAGTGAACATTAGAGTGTCATGTCATATACAATATAGATAGTAAGATTTGATGTACATTGTAATGTCTCATTTTATAGTTTAGGAGAAGCATGTTAGGTTAGTCAGAGTTAAGAAGAGAGTTAATTTGTTTGACTATAACATATGCCTGGTCAATTAAGTAGAATCTACAGTGTAGTACGCCAAAAGCAAGAGCTGGATTAAGTATCACAACAAAAGATATTATTTCATCTTCAGTAGCGAATGCCCACTAAATTAGGTATAAGAAGCAGTCGTGCGAACACAAAGAGTAATCAGAATACAGTATGGCAATGAAATCACATAAGAAAAAAAACAACAGTAAACATAAACACTAAAATAAATTGCTGCTTATTTTAGGCATGTCTGTGAGAAGCAACCTATCTGCAAGAGACTCTGTTCAGCTGACACTCTCCAGAGGCCCGGTGTATTCCTGCTGTGTCCTCAATCTCCACAGCCACATCTTGTGCATCTGTTTCAGCCACATAGTGTATTGAATAAAGCCATCCAGAGACTGCAAAATCACTCGCAGTGTGCTAGCTTCCTGGGCAGATGCGATGGGAGGCTTTCGAGGACCCAAACCCACCAGTGGGTGCTGCATAGCTTTCGCCACCAATAAGAACCATAGTGGCTTCCTTCAGATGCAGGATTCAGCTTGGCAGTCTGGCCCTGCCCCCAATTCAAATTTAAGGTCAAACTAGCCAAACTGGAAAAACTCTCAACGTCAGCTATGTTTTCAATTTGGTTACGTAGGTCTTAAACTTAAAATTCACTTTTGTGACGGTAGTCACTGTCACAGTGTCAGGTCCCCTGCTCCCGCACTACTCGCGGCAACCTTGCCTACATCATCACAGTGAGCGGCGTCATCTGGTCCCTATCTCCAGACTGGCAGTGTGTCTGATGCTCCCCATATGTGTGCTGCACCCGGTCATGTTACCCGGCACACAATGATGACTTTAGAGACCAAAAGGAAGGGAAGAAACTCCTCCCATGTGTTGTGGATAACACCAATTGAAGATTAGCCAATCAGGCACACCCTGTGTGTATATAAGCTAACCCGTTCATTGCCTCAGTGCCCTGTTGTGGTCTTTGGTTTACCACTGAGTGTTGCACTTATTATTTGGATTTCCTGGTTACTGATATTTGGCTTTGTCTCTTGTTATTCCATCTCCCTGTTTTCCTTGATCTCGGCTTGTATTTTGACTATCCTTTTTGCATAACCCAACCATTCTAAGGATCGGTATTGCAATTCTCTCTACTCTGTCCTGTCTGCGTATTAGGGTTCCCTAGTGAACATTACACACTACGGATGGAGGACAGACACTATATGTAGGCCCCCAGATTCCTCTTGTATTTTGGTCACCCTGTGCCCAGTATTGGCACAGGTTATGTTGAATGTATTGATTGTTTGTGCCTTTTTCCCTCCCCCTTTTTCCTGTCCCATTGTTTCCCCAGCTGGGTGTTTAAACTAGCTGCTCTGTCCCTCCTCAATCTCCCATCAGCCCTTGTTATTGTCTGAACCCACCCTTTCTTGTACTATAGTGATTTATGTACCGTATTGTATGTAAATGAGCCTGTTGGGGCTTACATATGTGTGCTGTGTTCATTAAAGGAAGTTGCTGTTTTAACCTTCACCATGTGTCGTCTGGTGTTTGGGGCATTCTGATGATGGAAAGTGTGTACAGGGCTATAAACACAGTAGCCTGGTCCATGGTGGAAAAGTGATCCCAGACAAGCCTCGGCGACTGGGTCTGAAGTGCTCCAGGGTC